GTCTTGTACTTCCCAATACCAATATCCAGCCATGGTTTCATGACTCCATCATAGCGTAATACCGCTGCCTGCTCAATCTCGTCCTGTCCATCATCCCCCTGATAGCCGAGACCAAGTGTATGCCATCTCCTGTCCAGATTAACTGTCCGGTTGTAGAAAGTTGCCCAACCTTAAGGCAAACTCCCCGCCTTCGACAATTGCCTTTTGTAGCCCTGCAACAGATAATGTAGCAAAACAAGCCTTCTAAGATGCATGAAAGTTGAAGATAGATTCAACCAATCATCGCCCAAGAGAGTCTCACAAAGCCCGGCCTACATTAGATTTCCATGCTAGATGTTGTATTACATGCTGATGCTTTTTTTTTTTCTTTTTGACGATGAAAATACCGAAACCAGGTGCTTTGGGCCCAATGCAGGCTGCAAACCCCTAAGACCATGAACGGCACCTCACCCGTGTACAGGGCGAATTGACGGTATAATCTCAGCATGGCAAGATGGGAGTCAAACCCCTGACATCAGACCAGGGAACTCCCAGTCTTACCAACTGAGCTACCCCTGAGAGATTAATACATGCTGATGCTCGTAAATGATCTATATATGTGATATTAAGAGCACGTTGATCAAAACATGGAAAAATCGAGAGAGGAGTAAACATCTTTTGAAGATGAACAATGCTAAATCAGCAAGCATGTTTTTCAGAACAGCAGAGATAACATAAATCCAGAAAGCATGTCAGCATGCAAGCATAAGCAAATGTGTAACAAGAGATAGTCACGTACCAGTTGCAAGTATTTATTATAGAGAGCTGTTAAATTATGCCTCTTCCACTCTTGCATATCAAACAAATTCATTCCAAATGCCCATGTGCATGCCTTGACATTAAACCTCTTAATCACAAATGGATCTGAGAAATTGATGAACATATCCATCCGGCAAAATGAAGGTTTGTTGCACACCTCAGCTCAAAGTAAACCATGCACAATATTCAATTTGAAAAGCTTTTTCCGCAGGTATCTAAGCCGACCACATGCACGGAGAATGACATCTGTACCAGATTCCTGTCATAGTTAATGATTTCTGATGGTACAAGGCCAAGAATAAGACTGGCATATTCCAAAAAAGTAGTAGAAAGGCTACAACTAGAGAGTTACATAAAGCAAGAAAAAAGCAAGAAATAGAACATTAAGATGATTTTCACAGCTAGCTTCTTGAACCATATAGAAATTTCATCCAATTTCAAGCCTGCTCCACGATAAAAAAAAGAATAGAAAGCATGTTGTTACAAAGTCAGCTTATGTGTTCCATGGCAATGCGATGCTATTGCATCTTTTAGGAGTTTTTTTTCACAAACCTCCAAGGCCTGCCACCCAGGTTCGCCTTGCTTGACTTTCTTTTCCCTTTCGATAAAATTTTCTCGACGGCACAATGCTTACACGATTTGCTAGGACATATAAAAAATATTGTTTCGACTTGGACAGGATGTATAATATTCTGGCAAATATGATACAAGCATGTTTGCAGGCACAATTTTTTTTCTCTCTTGGAGAGAGAAAAGGTGTCAGTCTTAACATAGGAACCACTAATGGGAGCCAGTTCACTTGCTGGAGATGATTTAATTGCCGCTTATATTTACTCCAGATAACTTTTTCTCTGTAACCACGCAAGTTATAACAGCCTCATCAGAAGCCTGAAGTGAAATCTGTATACACAAGCTAGAAAACAATTAAAAAAGACAGATGCAGTTTACCATGGCAGAGGACAAGGTAGAATTGACAACCACTGCACAGGACAGAACATTGCCAGTGAAAACAGTATAGTGATGG